CAAATTTAAATGAGTAATTTCTTCTGCTAACAAATCCAATCTGATTTGTTGATATTTTCAATGATTGATATTTATTTTTTTATTTTTTGAAATGTTAAATTAATTCAGTGCCAAATAAATTTGTCCTTTTTCTCTTTTCTCTTTTCTGCCATTTATTTATTATTAATCATTTCAGTTGTGTATCTTTTCAACTTCATTTATAACTATGATCGATTATTTGTAAACATATTATTAATTTATATTGTTTAATTATATACCTGTAAGCATGAGACAATGATATGTCATTTCTCTCCCATTCCTAATTCTTCCTTTCTGTTTTCATTCATTTTATCACCATATCATTTTTATCACTATTGTTATCACTACTACTTGTATTTTATTTATAAAATACAAATTATAGTGACAGAGTTGTCCTTTTTCTTCAATGATTAAATCAATTTGTTTGTTTTATTCAATATCGAAATCTCTCTCTCTCTCCCTTTCTCTCTCTTATTTATTTAGTTCTAATGTTGTCTTTTCAATTTGATGATTAAATCAATTTGTTTGTTTTATTCAACATCAAAATCTCTCCCCCTTTCTCTCTCTCTTTCCCTCTCTCTCTCTCTCTTTCTGCCTTATTTATTATTTATTTTATCGAATATATTTCATGAAATAATACTTCAGATCATTGAAACTTATCAAACTTATCAATCTGATAATGTCAAATGATTATTTGTCAACCTTTGTGATATACTACACTGATAAGTTCAATTTCTCGTACTGATAAAAGATAATTATTTCATAGAATTGAATGCTTCTTTAAAATATTCTCAACTACAATCAAAATGAAATTTCATTAATTTTATTTTCCAATTTATATTTAAAATTTTTGAACCATTTGAATAAATCAATAAATTTTTTATTTTTATTTATTTTATTTATTGTATATTTATTTATTTACCCTTAAATTTGAAACAAAAGAAATAACTGAGAAATAGATCAAAAAACAAAAAAGATAACACAAAATATCGGAAGATAATCAATCAAATAAACAAATAAAGAAGAAAAAAAATGCAAATTATGAAAGAAATGAAAAATGGAAAATAAATTTTAAAATGAAAAATGTTGATTTAAATTAAAAAATTCATAGAATTAATTATTCTACTTTTATTGGATAAACCCAAATTCACTTACACAAACAAATTTAAGGGTAAATTCGAGGGTAAATTTAAGTGTTCTTTCTGACTTCATCGCTATATTTGTTAGCTTTCCTTATGACATTTCTATCAGAGACAATAATAAATAAATAATGCAAACTTAGTAAAAAAAGGAAAAAAGTACTTATCTGGTAGTAATTAGAAGATATTTGCATCAAAACACATTGAATTTATTATTTCCTTCCCTATAATTTTAGAAATTTGCATGAAAAATGTTTTATGCTATATTTGTCATCAAAATGTATTTCTCGATTATTCCGAACAAATATTTCTCGACTTCTCGATTATTCCGAATAAATATTTCTCGATTTCCCGATTATTCCGAATAAATATTTCTTGATTTCTCGATTATCCCGAATATTAATATTTTTCGATTTCCCGATTATTCCGAACAAATATTTCTCGACTTCTCGATTATTCCAAATAAATATTTCTCGATTATTCCGAATAAATATTTCTCGATTATTCCGAATAAATATTTCTCGACTATTCCGAACATTAATATTTCTCGATTTCTCGATTATTCCAAATAACTTTTTATTGACTTTGAATTTGAGCTTCTTATGCTAATCTCTTTTGATGATAAGAAGTGAAATTTCTTTTCTTTTTCTTGCAAATTTCCCCATTTCTTTTTCCACACATCAATTTAGCATCATTTACACGCATTGTCTTCCTAAAATTACTTCAACACCTGAAATTATTTCAGTACTATTCCAGTACTTTGCTTATTTATTATAGAGGTGTACTTTTTTACTTTATTTTATCAACAATTATCAACAAAAACACATCAAAAACATAAACAATAGCAAACAAATAATTGATCAATACAAAAAAAAAAAAAAGAAAAAAGTAAAAATGAATTGGAGAAAATGGAGTGAAAAAAAATTTTTTAATGATTAAAACTCTATCAATTCTAAATCGAAAAAGTTAACAATGAAATGAAAAAACTTTGATTTAAAAGGAACAAAAAAAATTTAATTCATGAAAATAAAAGCAATTACAATCTATCATTGACAATTTTTTTTTTCTTTTCTTTGAAATTTAACAATCTTAAAGTTTGCTATTAAACACAGAGAAAATAAACAAGATATAATGAAGATTAGATCAGATAATTCCATCCTAATGAAATTCTGCGCCAAACAACTGCGACAAGATAAGAAGTATGACTCTAAGTAATGTCAATGTCAAACTAAGTTGTGACACTTTAGCTTTACATTGACATGATATATTCAACCAACTTTTCCAGGTAGCAATTCGAGAATTTAGTGATATGAGATTAAAACTATGAAATTCCTATTGTTTAAAGTATTTTAATAATTTAAGTAAATGAGTAACTCCTAAATTTAAGATTAGATGAATTTTTTTCTCAGGAAAAAAAAAAAAAAAAAACCAAAAAATGTTCTGAATTACAGTTAGAGACAGAAATACTTTTCTGAAGAAAACATCAAATCAGACTACTAAGTGGAATTTTCTGTGATAATTTATTCTTTTGAAAAAAGACAAACTAAATTCAAATTTAAAAAGTATGAAACATAAATATGCATCAAAAATCATAAAAAATATTAGAATAAAAGAGAAAGCATTAAGTAATTTATAATTGCATATAATTTTCTTTTATAATTATAGTATAATTACTGGAAACATACCATAAACATTGGAAAAATAATGTAATCACATAAACATAAACATAAACAATGAAGAAAGTAACAAAAAACATCAAAAAATTATTAGATTGAATAAATCGATAAAACATTTTGATCACTTAATTTTGCTAGAATAAACTAATCGATCTGTATTCCGGCAAACTATTCCGGTAAAATATACAATCAGTTGTAGAATAATTGAAAATTGAGAGTGCTGGAGGTAGAGATGACAAATTGCTGCAAATTATGTATGTTAATAATCCGTAAACAGTTAACAAAACAAACATCAAACAATTTTTGAAGGAAATCAGGAATTCAGGAAATTTCATATCATTTTTTTTTTTTTTTTTGATATCAGTAAGAAATTTACATTAGCTGAATAAAAATTTAATTAATTTAAAATTAAATGATAGAGATACATTCTATGCATTCAATATAAACACATTACTAAAATGAAATAAAAAGTAAATGATACATCGATAGATGTGATTATTTTTTTTTTTTTAAATAAAATTGAAATCTCCTAAAGATAGACTTATATATCTCTGATAATTAACTCTAATAATTAACAGTTTCAAAAAAAAAAGTTACAATTTACTCACAATAAAATTAACTAATATTAAACATCAAAAAGTCATTCCATTTGAGTTTATCTATAAGAATTATACAAAAAAAATATTATCTAACAAATTTCAAATACATTATTGATTAAATGCATATTCAAGTAGGGAAAATCCAATATTAATTGCAAAAGAAAAAAAAAAAAGAATCCCAAATTAGTCCCAAAAAAAAAAAAAAAATCTCACATCTGCGCATATTAATAGGATGGGCGGTTTTGACATTCACAGAAGAGATATGCGGCGCTCATTGTATTTCTCTTTTTCCATGGTGATGGATCTACAATTTTTTTTTTTTTTTTTTTGTTACAGTTACAATTTCATCAATTATGATTGATAGTTTTGCTTATTTTCTTTAGAAATTTTCAGAATTGTTTTCAATTTGGCATTTCTTTCCTTTTTTGCAAATTAATATTGAAATATTATCTTTTTCACAAATTTTTATAATTTATGTTTCTTTAAGCTCAATAAGTTTCTCATTCCTTAAAGTATAGATTAATTTAGAATATTTTATGTTTTTAATCAAATATGTAGTTTATTTGAGTCATGATGCAAACACCAATGATCATTAGAAGTACTCGAGAAATTGCAGCTATTTACAAATTAATATTTATCAAAAAAAACTAAAACGATTTTTTCTTTCTTTTTTCTTTATAAAGTTATTTTTAAGATTCAATTGTAGTAAATGCAAAAATCGAATTACTTTATATCAAATCCTCATTAAACCTTTATAAACGATTAATTTAAATTATATTAAAAAAAAAAAAGAATATTTGTAGACAATATATTAATGTCGAGATTTATTGTCTAATATCGAATATACATATTCTAATTTAAGATTTATTATCTAATATCAAATATACATATTCTAATTTAATATCCTAACCTAATCTATACGTCAGGGATGAGAAATTATTAAATTTACTTTTACAAATTTACGGAAAAGACGGAATTAAGATTAACCTAATATTGAAAAAATGCATTTTTAATTAGAGAACGTTCAACATTAATTCTCAAAGAAGAGAAAAACCCAAATTGAAAACAAAAATTCCAACAATAATATTACCAAGAAGATAAGTAAACTATCAATCAATTATCCATTGCCATGGAAGAAGAGAAATGCAATGAGCGCCGCATAATCTCTTCTATGAATACCAAAACCGCTTATCCTTGTAGTATGCGCAAATATCCAAAGGAGTTTTTTTCTCCTTTCTGATTATATTACAATGACATTTCATCTTGTTTTTGTGCGCCAGAGGGAATTTGCCTTCTATTCTAGCAAATTAACTGTTTCAATGTCACATACAATAAACTCTCTCACACTAAATTTGCATAACGATAGGATTAAGTAGTACGTAACACATAGTAATTCGTCACATCATCCTAATGCGCCTCTACCATTTGACAATGTAACAAGACCGCCCAATTGAGATTGCATGTGCAAATTTCACCACAATGAAAGACAGATTTATCACTTTAACGACTTGTTGAGGAGAAAAAAAAGAATTCCTTGGTATATCTGCGCATATTAATTGCGCGCATCAATGATTTCACTATGTGCAGGGAGTGAGGCGCTTACTGTAATTATCTTTTTTGAAAGGGAAAGAAGGCGCTCATTGCAATTGTCTTTACCCTGGGCGATAGATCTACGATTTTATCTTTTTTTTGCCAGAACTTCGTTAGTTGCGATTGATTGTTTGCTTATCATCGGAGTTTGCTCATCATCGGGGTTTGTTTATCATCGGGGTTTGCTTATCATCGGGGTTTGCTCATCATCGGGGTTTGCTTATCATCGGGGTTTGCTCATCATCGGGGTTTGCTTATCATCGGGGTTTGCTTATCATCGGGGTTTGCTCATCATCGGGGTTTGCTTATCATCGGGGTTTGCTCATCATCGGGGTTTGCTCATCATCGGGTTTGCTTATCATCGTGGTTTGCATATCATCGGGGTTTGCATATCATCGGGGTTTGCTCATCATCGGGGTTTGCATATCATCGGGGTTTGCTCATCATCGGGGTTTGCTCATCATCGGGGCTTGCTTATCATTGGGGTTTTGTTTATCATCGGGGTGATATTATTGTTGAAAAGTTCGGGGATTATTTCCAATTTGGGATTTTCTTTTATTTTGCAATTAATATTGGAGTTTCCCCATTTGAATATTCATTTAATCAATATGTGCTATGTTATACTGAAAATTGTTTGGTAATAATACTTTGTGTATAATATCTTAGCTTCTTATAGGTCAAATGGGATGACTTTTTGATGCTTTATGTGGGTTATTGTTTTGCTTTTTTAATCTCTCTGAAATATGCAGAATTAAAATTCTCAATCCACTTAACATCAATTTCATATCAATGTAGAAGGAAGTGCATAAAGTTTTCCGAGAAGATTGGTTTTTTCCAAAATTTGTTTTAGTGTTTGTTTTATTTACTAGTTGTACATTGTCTTTTTCAATAATTCACTTATTAGCAGCAGCACAAAACATTGAGATAAATAAATACTAGCTGATGTGCTACATTTAGTACCTATAATTAGTTTTATCAATTTACAGGTGTTTTGGTTTTTATTGGTTGAAAATTGATTTATTATTAAAAATAACTCTCTAATATTCAAAAAAAAAATAACTCTCTAATATTAAAAATAAAAAATAACTCTCTAATATTCACTTCGCTGATTTTTTTTGAAATTCTCTGAAATTATTTCAAATATTTTCAGTTAGATCCTTTATCAATTAGTTTTTCCAGTATTCCAAAAACGGAGTTTTTCTGTTTTTCTCGAGACATTAGAATAGCAACTTCAGATTGGAACAAAGAGTTGACAACAAATCATTGTGACAGAATATCATTAGTATCAGTTATACCTTAATTTGATAAAATCACATTACTGATTCATTTCCATTCGATTTAGGTAAAAAAAAAAATTGCATAATTACTTTATAATTAAGGAAAAATTTTTTTGGTTCAAGTCAATTTTGCAAGAAATATTAAGAAAAACAAGTAAGGCAAATAGAATAAGTATCAAAAATATCAAAAAATTGATCAAATGATATGTAAAATTGATCAAATCACAATTGATCTTTCTAGGAATGCAAAATTATATGTCTATAAAAACTAAATTTCCCGAGATATGCTGCTGATTTATGAATTAACTTAGAAATTTATCATTTAATACTTTGATATTCTCATGAACGTTTGCATTCTCCTCGAGAGCTATTTGAATTATTTCACTTCTGAGCATTCGATTTATCAATTTTCATTGTTCATTTGAAATTGTTTAATTAAGACGAGTTTTTTGATAACAATATGGTATTTAATACATCCAAAAAATAGCGATCATAGCTTTGCACTCAAAAATTCTTCTTAAGCTGTGACTGTGACAAATCAAAGTGACAGCTAATTTCACTTCGAATTTCAATTATTTCATTTTTTTTAAAGTTACATTGAAAACGAAATTTCCAAGTTGTAGATAATATAGCAGTTTTGAATTTTATTTGTTACAAAAAAAATTCAATTTACTATTTTGAAAATGATTCTGTTTTTTTTTTTTTTTTCCCGTTTTAACATTTCATTTAATTAGATGAAAAATTATAGCAAGCATATATTGCATTTGATTCATCCAACAAAGTTTTTGAATGCTTAGCTTTAATTTATTGATCGTAATTTCTTTTTTTTGAATTGGATTTTTAGGTTGTGATTTATAATTTTAATTCATTTAATACCTGGTTGTCTTCTATTTAGTTAATTGTCCTTTGTTTAGATAAAAAATTTGTTTAAATAAAAAAACAAAAATGCAAACGTAGGAATTACAGCGCAATTTTCTTTCACTGCCACTTTCAATCTTTTCTTATCAATTGAGAATATAAGGAATTTATAAAGAATGTGTGCTGTTAAGTTACTGTATTCTTTCTCTTTTTTTTTTTTTTCGAATATAGTAGAATAGGAGAATGTGTACGAGAAAGATTTCTATTAATGAGGAATTATCATTAAATATTATCAGTGATAAAATTCAGCTAATTCTTTCTTATTTTAATTATTAATTGTTTCTTGATTAGCTTTTAAAACCAACAGTAAGAATCCAAAATAAATTGATGAAAATGCTTGTGAGATCAGTGATTATAATAATTCGAAACAATCAGTGATTATTTATTTATTTTTTTTTCATTTTCAATTATTTCTATTTTGCGAATATATTAATTTACCATTTGTTTGTTCACACTTTTCTTATCAATTATTTGAATAATTGATATCAAAGTACAATCTTATTTCTTTTCTTTTCCATCACTGTGACAAAATTTTTGTAATTTATTTTGAGGAAAATATAAAAATGCGAAATATTAAGGTATTAGGAAAGAGCTGATAAGAAATAAATAAGCTTATCAAATTGATTATATGTTAATTAATTAATTTGTCATTTATTGATTGCTTATAGATTATTGTTAATTTATTGATTTGTCGCTTGTTTATTGATAAGCAATAAAGTTTGTGTACGTGTTTACAAGTAGAACACGTTTCCGTCAATATTTGCAACACGTTGAAATTTGTAGTATAGTGAATATAAAGTGTGTTTCAAATTGAACGGTTGCGGGTTCTACTCAAACAAATATTACAAGTTTTACAAACAAAAATAATTCTACAAAAAAAAGAAAAAAGAAAAAATCGCAAATTTAGATCTATGTATTGTAGTTAACGTGTGATTTCACTTCACGTAAAACGTGAAAAAAATTGGACCATTTTTTTTTAATTTTATTAAAATTTCAAAAAAAAAAAAATGATGTAAGGAGAACAATAATAATTTAGTAGTACTGTTATATCAAATGGTAACAATTCTCTACAATCAATTCAAAATTAAAAATTTTTAAAAGTTTTGAAAATATGAAAGAAAAAAAAAAAAAAAAAACGAAACAAAATACCTTGGGAAAATGCATGGTAAGTAATAAAAGTGTCGGAAAGTACTTTGACTTTTTGCTTTTTTTAGACTTTTTCTCTTTGCACAGCTAATTAAAACAAACTAAATAGCTAATCGAATGCAACAACAATAAGTAGTTGAACTAAGCAAATAAAAATATGTAATTAGTAAGCTAAACAATGCAATAACAATAATTTTTCATAATTCAATCTAAAACTATAATATCTGAATTTGTCATCGCAAATGTCATTTGCTTAATTTCCATTTGAAATCAAACAAAATTATACTTTGCACCAACTTTTCTGCTTACTCTCCCTGTTGCTTTGTCGTCATAAATCTTTGTGATTGCTCAGCAATTAAAGAAATATTTACCAATAAATTGCTCTTTAAAGTTTTGCAACTACATTTAATCACAAAAGTGAAATTCTTTTTTTCTTGCAGAATGAGTGGATTAGTGAAATGGCTAGAAGTTGATAAAATTTTTATCAAATCCTCAAAAAAAACTTAAATTCATGCAAAGCGCAAAAGTCTTAATCGCCCAGTAACTATTCGTAAATTTCAGGATAGATACTGAGAAACATTATCATATCACAAACAAATACCAATCAGTTCATTCTAAAAGTTTGCACAAAAAAAAAAAAAAAAACAAACAAATGAATAAAAGTTGCCTCTAATTAACTTTAAATTAACTACCTCAAGGTAAATTGTCAAAGTAAACAAGTAAACTAATTGCCGAAGAATATTTGAAACAACAACGAATAGTTAAGTATAAAAATTTTCTCTACTGATTTGCTAATTTATAAATGATCAGTGTAAGCTTAAGCTATAAATAAAACATATCGTTGATAAAAAAAAAAAAAAAAAAAAATCAAAAGTATAGACAAAACAAACATACCTTAAGAAAAAAGAAAACAAATATGTAAACATATTTGCGAAGCAAAAAAAAAAAAGTCCATAACGGAAGAGAAATTTGTTGTCATTGAAAAACATAATAAGATGGGAAACATTTTAATCATAATGCCGAAAAAGTTTCCTTTTTATGCTTAATTGTTGTTGAATTATACATATGAATAATTTCTAACCGGATAACCGGATTCGGTTTGCTTTTTTTTTTTGTTGTTGTTTTCTTCTTGTTCATTCTTTTTACAATGCTCATCGTTTTTTCTGTAAATTTTACCACATTTTTATTTTTACGTCGTCATTTTTTTTTTTTTGTCATCATAATTTATCATTTTTGTTAAACATTAAACTTTTCTTTTTTTTTTATCGTCCTCTACCATCCCTTTTTTTTATTTTTAATCTTTTTTTTTCAAATATTTTCCATCATCTTTTCATCACTTCTATCTCGCTTTTTTCTTTTATCTCTCTTTCTCTCAATTTCACATCTTTGTTTTTAATTTATCATTTTTGTTAAACATTAAACTTTTTTTTTTTTTTTTTTATCGTCCTCTACCATCCCTTTTTTTTATTTTTAATCTTTTTTTTTTTTCAAATATTTTCCATCATCTTTTCATCACTTCTATCTCGCTTTTTTCTTTTATCTCTCTTTCTCTCAATTTCACATCTTTGTTTTTTTTTTTTTAAATTCATCATTTGTCACCTTTTCATCCTTTTCTATCATTTTGTATAATTCATTTCATTATTAGATATTTATTGTGCATAGATAATAATTACACAATAAAATATATTTGATAAATGATTATGAATAATTTTATTTTTTCATTTCAAATTTGATTATTTCAATCAGATGACAAATAAATTGGGGACATTTTTTCATCCTTCTTTTCATCTATGCAAAATGCAAAATGTTTAATCAAAAATTATTTTCATCTTTGGACTATGCTTCCTCTTTCCGACTGCGAAAGCGATTTTTTATAATTTCTCCCTCAAAAAAAAAAAAAAAAAAAATAATATTTACTATCTTTTACAATATTTACTGATCATTTAAAATTTTCATTTTTTTTTTTTTTTTTATAAGTTAAAAGCAATAAAATTATAGCACTAATTTTTTTTTTTTTTTGATAACTGTGTCAAATGTTTGTTTAACATTTATTGAAGTGATTGATTGAAAGAGTTTGCCATATTTTTGTATTAATCAATCGATCAATCAATCAATAATTTTTATTTTCAGTATTTAACAGATTTATTCTTTATGAAGATTTGATTTTAAATTATGTTAGGAATTAAAAGAAAATTTGATCGGTTAGTGAAAATAAAACGATGAAAGCGCAAAAAGAAGAAGAAATTATGGAATAATTTCAGTTATGGAATTTTTATGCAAATATATTTTTTAGACAAAGAACGAATAGAAAGAAGGAAGTGGTGAGCGATCAAATAATTAAAATTTAAAATATTCAATTAATCACTTTGGACTATAATTTAATGTATTCAGCAGTTAGTTCAAACTGTTATACAAATCGTTGTAAATTTACTTACATAATTATTCAATTTCCTTATTTAGCTTTCAATTTCTTACTATTCATTAATTAATTAGTTTGAATTGTACTGCTAATTAAACTGATCCAACTAATGCCAAGTATTTCTTTAGTGCTATTTAGTATTCCAAGAAATTTAGACAAATATATTTTTTGAAAATTTTATTTAAATGCTCAAACAAAGCATACAAAAAATGAACATAAACAAAAGAATATATAAGAAAATGAAATTATATAACGC